GTAGAATATAATGAAAAATTATTATAAACTTTGTCGTATTATTAATAGGGATGGCCTGGCTTAGCGCTAGTTAAGAAGTCGATGTACTAGTAGAGAACATTTAAATTGATGCTCGACGACTTAAAGGCTCATAGCAGCAAGAGTGACTGAATAAGTGTCTCCGGGCACACATTATTATTGTATTGATTACGGAAACTTATTTATTGGTTTAAATCTGTATATTAAAGCTTATATCTTGTTCGTTTTTTTTTTTATACCCATCCCTGAAGGATGAGGAGCCTATTCGCTTTTGTCCGTCTGTGTGATATCTGTTGCAAACGTACTTCTGGCCGCAAAAATGAAACTATCGACTTCAAATTTAGCAATCACATTGGACGTTCTCACACGCAAGTTGGCATTGAAAATGAGCCAAATCGTTGCAAGGGCAAACCCACGGCACCACGTAAATTGAGAACGTCTCTTTTCTCCAAACGTAACGAAGAATTGGCTTTTTGCTCTTTAGTCATAAACTGCAGCAAATAAATGTACAAAAATTTGAACGCATATTCTGTGGACGATGTTGTTGCATTTGTATATAAAAATGGAAATAATTGACCACACCTACCCATTATTAAAGTATGTCAAAATTTCACTTATTTTTTCATTACCTTCATAAAGTGTAGAAACAAGTTTTAAAAACCCCATAATATATGCAAATTCTTGGCCAATTTCAAATGTGGACTGCACCGTCCGCCTGTTCGTTTGTCCATTTGCCTGTTTGCGCAACTTTGTAGTATTTGTGATAAACATTCTCCGGTTAGCGTAAATGAAGATATCGGTTACAAATTGCAAAAGTATTTGGAATTGATCTAAACTTTCAAAGGATACGCCTACAACGCCCACCTGCCTCTACGACAAAAACATTCATTTTGAAGATAGAGAAAATCACCTGTGTCCGTTCCGTATGATAGGGCATGAAAATTTTGCTCTTTTACTTCTTTTGCTTTTCTTAGGATAGTAGGTGATGGGTATAAAAGATTCGGTCCCGACCAAATTTGATATTCCTACTTGTTTTTTTTTTTTTTTTTTGCAATCTTTTTTTTATATTCCTTCAGAGGAAATCCTTTTACTGCATACTGCAAAATACTTAACATCAATAATCTCATATCTCATCTTTGCTTATACACCATGTATACGTATTCCGACATAAAAATAATACCATTTGTAATATCCAAACAGGATATGTGTCTAAAGTAATTTCTTTGAAAGAATTTTATTACGCAATCTATACTACTCTGGCAAAAATTTACTATAAAATGTCTATAAACTCTCAAGTATGGCATTATCACCTCAACCATGGAATACTCATATATGCATGATGGTCTTGTTATAAAAAAAAAAAAATAAATAAATAAAATAAAAAAGTAAAAAAAAAGCAAACAACATAAAAATAATATTGAATATTTATGTATACTTTGGTGAATGTATAAAAAATTTTACGAACTTATGAAAGTTATATCCACACAACACACACCTGCATGAATAGTATTCAATTTAACAGTAACTCATACGATCGCTATAAGTTATATGAGTTATATGTCGTCTGAAACTTATTGAGTCTTCCAGGAAATCCTTTCATCTATTTAACTTTCAACGTTTGAGATAAATGAACGCTGTCATCGTCATTATTAGGTTAAGCTAAGTATTTTATGGAATCTAGAACATTACGTGGGCCATGCATATAATAATGCAAGGATTTTCCGATAGATGATTTCAGCAGTTCTTCTTTCGCTCATTAACATATACTATACACTAACTATTGCAAAGCATTTGAAATTAATTTAAAACCATCACTAATAATATCACAATTGTGAATTCAGGTCGAACTTTCGAGATATTTTGATGAGATTTGGTACACCAAGCTGTTTTGACGCAAGGGCGAACGTGACGGGACGAACGCGTCACTTCGATCGATTCTCGATCACTTTTCATATAACGCGTTATATCAAAAATTCGTTATATGAACAACTGTATTAAGTGAGGTGTCGTAGGGTATTTAATGGGTGCCGTTGCCCACAATGATGTTTCACGTGTTTTACATTGGCTTTTTAAATGCTCGCGTAAACTTTTCATTCAGTATATCTGTAGTACGTATTGAGCTCGTCTTGATACTTGTAAATATATTTTTATACTAATATGTGGTACGGAATGTAATTGATCAGTTTTTGCTCATTACAGATGTGATCGTGTTCGAATTACGTGTAGTGCTGCCAATCGTTTCACGCTTAAAAGATGATGAATAAAGTCTAACTATCCGAAGGAAATCTATTTTCTTACTTACTCCTATGAATTATTGACCGGTGTATTTTACCAGTACATATTATATATAACACTAACATATCACACACTAAGCTCGTAGGATCATATATGAGCCCTTGATTTCGATATTGGTATAAGTCACATATTCCTTGTTTCGAGATATTTTGAGTTTTGCATTTTAAAGGATTAAAAAATATTTTTGTATTATGGAATATGATTTTTCGACAGTAAAGTAGTGTCAATAAACAAGTATTTATTATGATTGTGAAATTTATAACCATTTTTAAAAGGAAATGTTGTTTTCAAAGGTTGAAATGACTTATACCACTTTCAAAATTAACTGCATGACTTAATAAATGATTTATACCTTCACGAAAAGATTTTTATTAAGAATTAATAAATATTATTAACATTTTGTTCAAACTCATTTCATTGTAACCAAGTAAATCATTTATTAGTATTTAGGGAAATAAAGTGTTATTGGTCTAATGCTTGTGTATAATGGAAGCAAATCAATGCTTTCGAATATTTTAGGTCTTCCTCTTTTAGGTGAGAGGTCTAATACTTTGAATTCGGAGTTGTCATCCAAGGACGTTTTATAAAACATCTTATGTGGAATATTTTTTAGAAATCTGATCCATTGTATTTTTAGCCAAGACACAGCTTCTCCATTGGTGTTTTTCTTTCTATTATTCGTTAATTCTTTTAGTTGTTTTGCCGAAATGAAATCTTTCTGGGCCATTTGTACTACCAAAAATGGGTTTCTCCTTTTACATGATTCCATTAAATTATAATAATGCTCAGGGATGTATAAATAATTCGATTCTTTACTTTTAGTTTCTATCAAACCGAAATTGCGATCATTTGGCAAAAAAGAATGGCCGGATACCATAAATTTATGATCAACTGTTTCAACATTATTATCAGATAAATGAACAATTTTTAACCATATTAAAGCTATGTTAATGTCACGATTTTGTCCTGAGCAGGCGTCACTGTAAGCTATGACATGCTTTTTAGTGGTAATGTCCCGAATGTGCTTTAAGATGCATGACGCAACTTCCTGTGATCCTCTTGAGGCGATTGTTTCATCCCATGCATACATTTTAGCACTTTCATTGTGCAAATTATGAAACCCCAAATTGTATACATACATGTTGCGCTTACAATAAGCTACCGAAACAGAAAGTTTTGGGTACGAAGGTGTTTTCTGTAGATCAAATGTGAATCCGTAATATTCACTCGGGTTATCTTTTCCTTTTTGTATGTCATTTGTTAAACTTTTTCTAGCCTGTTCGGCACTGTTAAGATGTGAATCATGAATTTCCATAAGATGCAACTTCTCGTCTTCATTACTGGATGCTTCCATTTGTTGTTTTAGTGAATCACACTCTTGACACGTGTCTTTACGACGAGTATGAAAATTTAAGTTGAACTTCATATTGAACCACTCCTTCACACGTGATGTATTATTTCCATCACATTTTTTTACATTCAGTTTGTATGTAATAGTTTGTATGTAATTCTACGACCCAATTGAGTGGTGATATATATACATTAATAATATATATGCTAAAGTCGTACAGGCGTATAGGAAATCTTTACAAACGAAAGCCGTAATATATTTTACTATCATCCTTCGTTTGTGGTCACAATGGCAATGGAAACTTTTCTCTGGTAAATATTCTTTATCGCGCAGATTCTTTGCATTTGATCTTAATATTGCCTGGGAGGTGCTGAATAAGCGGAAAAGCTAATAAACATAGAATCTCATTCTAATGAAAAATGCCGTGAAGCGGATTGTAGCAATGCACAGACCAACATGAAATGTTACAAAAGTGCTTAAAAGCTATCGTTGCCAGTTTCTGTTTTTAAGCCGATAGCATTATACTGAATAACCGTCAGGAATTGAAGTCCAATTAATCATTTAAAGAAAAAGTCCTGCTTTTTTTGATCGTATGAATATGATCAAGGAGCTGGCTTTACCTTTAGTGTTTCATATAAAAATTTCTCCAACAAAACCTTGTTTTGAAAACGACGTCATGCAAAACGACATCTGCAAAAAACCGGAATATATGAATATAATGGAAATCGTTCGAAGAAGGCCGAGAAATATTATTTGATATAAGAATTGTCTCAATAGATGAACATATTTTTCGAAACCTCAATCAACGTAATTGATACGAATACGTTGTTGCCCTAATCACTTCACTAACGTAATCGTAGTTGTATCGCTAGCGATGAATTTCCACTTGAATGCGACGAAGGGGACTTGAGTACGTAAAGTTATATTTTCTTTAGCAACTTGACTTAAGACTTGCTTATTCAATGAAGAAAGAAATAATCGTGTCGCTATATGTTAGATTTCCTTTTCTAAATATTTTGTATTTATTTATACCTACCTGTGTAAGTAAAATCGAAAATTGAACAAGATTGATAATATTTCTATAGCACTTAAGCGATTTTTTTTCTTTCATGTCACATTATGTAACTTTTCAACGATGATAATGCCACTTCCGTGGGCTGTCAAAAAGTGATATATGAAAGTGTGGTTATATATTTGTTATATAGCTGTGTTTGTTTAACTCTTTAAAGATTTTTCATTTTAAACTTTTACTGAATAGTTCGTCAAAAAATTTATTTAACTTTATTTTGCCCTTTAAAAACGTTTTAAAATTATTTTTCTCCTTTTTCTCTTTCAGGTGAGTAATAATATCTTCATCAATACCAAGTAATTAAAAGTCTTGTAAATGCACTCAAAGCCAAGTCATTTTTCAAGTATTTAAGCCACTGCGTTGTAAGTATGTATACATCTAGATCTTATACATATAAATATTATATATATATATATATATATATTTTCTTATACTTACAGTCGCTCATTTGTGTTCGTCTTGAACTTTCTCAGAGAAAAGTTATGCTTATTGCAAGCATTTTTCCACTTGAAATAAGAAAACTTCATATATAAAAAAATTATCCTACGCCCTTTTTGAGTTTCCTCCCTGTTATTCTCGGGTTAATTGATACTAAAAGTTTTTCATCAAAAAAAAAGAAAAAAAAGAAAAAATTGTTTTGATCGAAACTTAAAACCTATATAATGAGTTACGTACATGGTCAAAGTTGAAAAGTATATATATTTCAATGTTAATTAATTTAATTATATATTAAAGAAAGTGCTTAAAAGGAAAGGGCTTTTCTCCTAACGAGCATGAATAATAAATTAAAGCTAAAATAAAGTTTATGGTTATAAAAAGTTTGGAGCGCGCTTGGTTTAGAAATTTTTATTATTTATACATGTGGTATATAAATGTTTAATGCATATGTGTTTGTGTGTAAGTGTGTGTGTGTGTGTGTGTGTGTGTGTGTGTGTGTGTGTATATTTATAGGTACAAACACTTATATGCATATTGTTTTGATACATTATGTATATTTTTACTATATAATCATCCCCAACTTCAATGCCAATTATCTTACGACTTTTATGAAATAATTGCCGCCAAAAATTATGCTACAATAGATGGAAAAAAACATATCATGTAAACATTGCCTTTGCGCATATGCGTATATATATATGTTGAGAAATATGGTGAATATGTACGAACAAGGAAGAGAAAGACTGCAAGATAGAGAGGGAAAGAATGGACTTTTTCTCTTTGTTTATAGTATGAATATTATTTTTATTTCACATATCCCTTTACGAAGAATGTAGAGATGTATTAACTTGATTATTTTGCTTGTAGCATTTGGTAAAACACATTTAGTCATGTCAGTGTGTTTTTAGATATTTGCAAAGTAACGAAAATTCAAGTCAAAGCTTTAAATGAGTTTTAAACGAAAAAGAGGCAAATCCATATTTTTTTTTTTTTGCTTTTTTTTTAACAATAAAGAAGAAGAGTTATTATATGCGAACTTTTAAGCAAACACAAATTATACTTTGTAATATTTTCGTTTAAAAATTTTCAAAAATTTAGTCGTTGGGATATGGGTTTCGAAAGATCCCTTTTTGGCGGGGAAACGATAGTGTTATGGCGGATTTATCTGCAATAATAACATGATATGTCATCTTGATATAAATTTTATGATCTTTCCTATTGAGACGAACTTTTAAATTACAATAAAATTGTTTTATTCTCTGTCCATGTAAACACGAACTACTTACCCTTGCGCAGTTATTGATACTTTCCTAGCAAAATAACGATGTGTGCTACTGGGAGAAAACAGATGTCATTTCACACTTAACCATATAGATAGAAATATATCATAACCGTGTCTCGTTCTCTCTCTCGTGTAAGGTTCTCAACTCTAAAGTATAGATCTATAGGGAAGTTGCTAAATTTTAAATAGAAACTAACGAATTATTTAATAAAAAATACATTAAAATAAATTTGTTATACTCTCTTTCTCCCATTTTCTCTTTCTCTTTCTAATTATCATTATACTTTTGCGTTGTATTTATGTGAGTATGAGAACTTATTATAATACAAAGAGAAAAAAGAAAGTTTCATAAAAAAAAAAAAATTCAGCGATCTTTTGGTTTTTAAAAAATATCTAAGATTCATCTCAAGACGAACGTTACAGTGTCTTCGACGTTTCAAATCAAAAAATGTTTTTAGTAATTGAGGGAGAAAATGTTTTCTCATCCATCACTCAGGGAGTGCTTCCTATTCATGTAACACAGTGGGAGTCAGGAAAGAAGTAAGGAAAGAGAAAGAGATAGGGAAGCAGTCGCAGTCGAGGGTTTGTGTTCGCGATCTAAGCACCCCAATATCACTATAACCAAAGTAAACTTCCCCGCATTGAGATTTGAACTCCCGAACGCCGACATGTTAGTTGCGATTCTTACCTACTTAGCTACTCGTTGTGACACATAAGACTCTTCGACATTGAGTTTGTCACCAACAGCATGCTACATACGCAAGCGAATAGACGGACAAATGGTCATGGGGGATATGGTTCAAATCAAAGCACTGGGATTGGCAGCATTATCAATAAATTAAAATACAGCACATTTTTTGTCCCTTCCTAGTAAAAACGCATACGTATGCCAATGTCCCATTCAATTATCGAAGCACCTCTTTACCTCTTTACCTCGATACCTCTTTAGGATAACGTTGAGTTCGTTTTCCATGTGTTCTTTAAAAATATGTAATTGACGGTTTGAGCTTTTTGAAAAAAGGAAGCATGTCACGTTAAGCTTAATGCAGCAAATGCTGTATTCGACTGATGATCTTAGCGGAATGTTGGCAAGATTATGTAAACTCTATTCTCGCTTTACTATGATATAACACCTGACTGTTATGAATATTATGTTATGTTAATTATGATTAAATGGTACTCTCTCTTTAATAAATAGTCGTTCCTAAGTTGATTATAGAAGGGTTGCACGAAAACGAAAAATCTTGAACTATCTTAAATATGAAATTGTAATATCTTTTTAAACTCTTTACATGTTACAAAAGGATGGTAAAGTTAGTTGGTTCACACTTTCAAGGTGTTTTTAAAATTGTCTCGTTATTGTAATAAAATTATATTCACCACTTTATCTCGGCAGTTCTCTCCTTGTTACTAATTTATTTTATCTAAAAGTCTCTCTCTTTTTGTCACACTCTCTCTCTCTCTCTCTCGCTGTTGCTCTCTTTTCCTCTTCCTCTCTCTCTCTCACTCTCACTCTTACTCTCACTCTCTCTCCCTAGTTTTCTCTTTATGAACTTTGACGCGTTTTATTTGCCTCTTATGGATGCTACTCAAAGCATAAAACTATAACATCTTGTAAAAGTAAAACATACGTTGAATTTTATCTGGACGAGTTTGTATGTGTTGTATTGATGTGTGATATGTGAATATGTGTGTGTGTGTTCGGCTTTAAAAGGAACCTGCAAAAGTGTAAAATGAACAAAATAGATTTTTATCATTATATTTTTAAGGGATAAATCTCCAGCGAGCTCAGTCTGTTTTTGAATACGGGCGTTAAACGGTCACTGGTCGGTTAAAGAAAACATTAAACAAACATATTATATATGTTCTGGCGTTTATGTAAATTCTTTTTAGTTTCTCCTTTTTATGATGATTTTTCCTCGCACGGAAATTTAGAACAAAACGAAAACTAAATAAGGAAAACCTTAAATTAAAGTAAAAAACATCGAATAGAAAACTATTTATTATAAAAGGAAGGCATTGCATTTATATAAAAATTGTAATAGTTTTCTGCTGGATTTATTAACATTAAATCAACACAAGATACAGAAATAAAGAAAACAAAAATAAATAAATAATAATAAGAAAAAAAAAAAAAAAAAAAAAAATTTATTGATAATAATATATAAAAGTGTGTGTCCATATATATATATATATATATATATACATATATATAGAGTGCGTGTGCTGATGTAAAATAAATCATTAAAGGCCTTAATCGAAATCGAAATCGAAAAACAAAACTGAAAATTACTCCTCTTAACTTCTCTAATAAAAACAATGAATAAATTGAATTGATTTTATTCTTAAACTATTCAGATAAATTATTGCCAGAAATAATAATAAACGAGCGTGTGTTAATTAAAACGAAAAAAGAAAAAAAAAAATCAATTACTTTGTTCAGTTCTCTGTCTCTCTATCTCTGTTATCAATAAAATGGATTAATTGAAATATTTGTTGTTTGCGTGTCATTTACGAATATTCCGTGTAAGGATTCCCGTGCATTCCGCAATATATTTTCAATGCAATTTCTTTTTTTTTATATTTATATTAAACTAATTTTTGAAACGAAATTTGCGAAAAATTTGCCTAATATTTATTGAAAATGATTTTTAAATTTTCATTGTCATTATTTTTACTGTTTCTGTTCTTCTGTTTGTGTAAAGTTAAGAGAGAGTTATATATGTTTCCAAGCTTTCATTAATGGCAAGCGATTATATAAAAAAAAAAAAAAAAATAAATAAATAAATTTTATTATATATGGTGGGCGTACCAGTTGTTCGATCGTAAATAATTCTTGCGGTATTTCCAACTGATTTGAGAGCAAATTTTAATTCTTTTTTTTTTTTGTTAATTAATTTTTTATAGCAAACAATAAGTGTGTCAATATTTGGACGAAATCTTAATTATAGAGGCTGATCAATGTTCTCCTCGTTAATACCTTTTTGGGAAAGTTGTGGAATGAATCATGATCATACCCAGTCGAGCTATGGTTCTCTAAGGCTAAGCATAACGAATGTTAGATTTTTGTATTTGTTATTTCTTTTCCGACCATAGGATTTTTTCGTCCCTAGAAGGATAGACCGACAATGGGCTGCAACAGTTTTTAATAAAATGTCAATAAAAGGTGGCTTGTTACCAGCTCTTCCCTTAACACATAAACAACAAAATTTGTCCGTTTTTTCTGCATAGGTATTTTCGAAATTGCTTATAGACGAACAGAGCCTATATTTAAAAGCCAGTCTATATGTAGAAGCTCTAGAGCGCACATGTTTTATGTCTGGTATCTTTCTCGGTATATGCGATCGTAACAGTTACGAACTTAGACGAGCAAGCAGATGTAGTTGATTACATCGATTCACTAAATTTTTGTTAATGCCTTCTAGTTACAAGAAAATTATGCTATGATGCTATGATGCTATTCTTTTATGCGAATCGTATTAAAATTTTCAAATTTTTACACTTATTCAGCCTAAGATTAGGACATGTGCTTTGGAAGCTCCCCTAAAGAATGCAAATTCTTAACCCTCTTGCATTTGCAAGTCTATTTAGGCATCTCTGTCCTTCTCGAGTCACCATGAAATACACTATTTCGTTTAATACAATTATCTGCACAACAACAACGATAAAGTGTTGCATGGAAAGTGACTGAAAAAGTGATCCGATCCGAACGATTTTCTCTGCACAAGATTTCATCAAAAAACTTCAAAAAATATAAACAAAGAAATAGCAAACTATTGCAAACAGAGGGACAAAGGGGACCGATAAGCGATATCATATGCGATGGGTCTATCTCAAGTCTTTCCATAAAATATTATAAACAATTTAAGCCGCTGCCGATGATGGTCTAAAGTTTGGTAAAAGTATTTATCAGGGCGAACAAGTGAACGATTGATTATTAACTTGCAAAGCACTCGGAAATGCGTGCATAAGCTCGAAACGTATATAGCTTTCGTTTCTCACTTTTCTTTTCAATAGGAATTTCCATTAAAAATCTATGTAACAATTGGTATTGCAAAGAGAAATTTTAATAATTTCTTTAAAATTTTCGTTATCTACCTTTCAATCAATCATATTAAACAGTATCTTATGTGCATAGTACAGTGAAATAATTAAATCATTTAAAGCTGCAGTGATATAAAAA